TTCCAAGTCCCATCACCACTGGTCCCAACACGTGAGAACTACTTTGTGAGGTACTGTAAACAGCATAGCGACGGGATTTGGGCAGTTGTTGATGTCTCTTTGGACAGCCTAAGACCAAGTCCTATCACCAGAAGCAGAAGAAGACCCTCTGGTTGTCTGATTCAAGAATTGCAGAATGGTTATTCAAAGGTAAACTTATAAGGTCTAAATTGTTACTTCAAAAAGTAAGAGGTGTAGAAATTTGAGTTAAAGAGAATTGATGGGGTGATTTTTATTTATTTTTTCTTGTATATTGAAGGTGACATGGGTAGAGCACACTGAAGTGGATGATAGATCGGTTCACAACATGTATAAACCGCTGGTTAATACCGGTTTAGCATTCGGTGCCAAACGTTGGGTGGCTACACTTGACAGACAATGCGAGCGGCTCGCTAGTTCGATGGCTAGCAACATTCCAGCTGGTGATCTTTCCGGTAAGTTTACCCTCAACTTTGAGGGTCATCTTGATCAATTTTTAAATTATGAGATGAAATCGTAAAAATAATATTTATTTATTTGGTCCCTGAAATTTTGTGATGATTACGAAAGTGATAACGAGTGCTGAGGGGAGGAAGAGCATGCTGAAACTAGCGGAGAGGATGGTGATGAGCTTCTGTAGTGGAGTTGGCGCGTCGACTGCACACGCCTGGACTACATTGTCCACCACAGGATCCGACGACGTCAGGGTCATGACCCGTAAGAGCATGGATGATCCGGGAAGACCTCCGGGTATTGTTCTGAGCGCTGCTACTTCTTTCTGGATCCCTGTAGCACCAAAACGAGTGTTTGATTTCCTCAGAGATGAAAACTCAAGAAGCGAGGTAATCAAACCAAACACAAAAACACGAACAAAACCTATTTCTTTGTAAAGATTGAAACTTCTTTAATTAAGGGTTTTGTGTTCTACTTTGCAGTGGGATATACTTTCAAATGGAGGCTTGGTTCAAGAAATGGCTCATATCGCAAATGGTCGTGATCCTGGGAATAGTGTCTCTTTGCTTCGAGTTAATGTAAGTTATGTTCTTTAAATCTTGTAGTTTCTAAATTATGGTTTTGCTTGTTCATAAAGTTTTTGAGATTTTGTTTGTGAAAAAAAAAACAGAGTGGGAACTCAGGACAGAGCAACATGCTGATCTTACAAGAAAGCTGTACGGACGCATCAGGATCATATGTGATATATGCACCAGTGGACATAATGGCTATGAACGTTGTCCTAAGCGGTGGTGATCCAGATTATGTGGCTTTGTTGCCATCCGGGTTTGCTATTTTGCCTGATGGCTCTGCTAGAGGAGGAGGAGGAAGTGCTAGTGCCGGTGCTGGAGCTGGAGCTGAAGGAGGAGGAGGAGAAGGAAACAATCTTGAAGTGGTTACTACTACTGAGAACAACGGTGGCTCACTGCTCACAGTTGCGTTTCAGATACTTGTTGACTCAGTTCCAACCGCTAAACTCTCTCTCGGCTCAGTTGCTACAGTCAATAGTCTGATCAAATGCACTGTCGAGCGTATTAAAGCGGCTGTGGCCTGCGACGGCGCATGATCGAAGTTTTTCAGGTACGCAATATTCTCTATAGTTTTATCTATATTTGGATATATAATCACATCTTCTTGATATGTTTTATGTTTGTGTTACATTGCAGAAGTAAGAGTACTATGGGAGGTTTAGGAGTTTTATGGTAATGTTTGTGTTTTTTTATATAGTCTTTTGAGATTCTCCAAAGGAAGTCAAGAACGCACCTTTCTGCGTTTAATCTCATTTCCGCGTTTGTTTGCGGTCGGGCCAAAAAAAAGGCTTGAGAAAGAAAGGGTAAAGAGGTTCGGGTATTGACTTCTGCTGGAACAAAAAAACAAAAACAAAAGAATCGGTTTGTTGTGTTTCGGGCGTTTTAGCGTTTTGCGTTTTTATGTTTTATCAATCATTCACTAGCGAACATTTTTAGCGTTTTGAGTCTACTGTCAAAGTGTATGCTACTTACTCTACTACTTTTGTTATTAAACCACTCTTGTGGTACTTATCATATATTTATCCATGAAATTGTGTTTATTTCTACTTTTTTCACATCTCTTTCAATACCAACAAAAATAAACAACTGTTTTTTTTTCATTATGTTGAAGAAAAAAAACAATAGTTACAAAATGATATACTAATCAGCAAGCTTTGTCCAGTTCTAATAATTTAGAAAATATCGTTGTCAGTTCCTGCAATCACAGGTCATTTTCTCTCGAAGCGACCCATTCACAGTTTTCACACCCATCAAGTAGATCAATCCCAGCGGCTCAAAATATTTTTGTTGGTCCATCAAAATCTTTAATACTATTGTCATTTTTGATCAATGTCAAAAATTATTAATTCTTCAAATCATTGGTAAACTTGTTCGGTGAGATATCAGTGTCGACCTAAAAGGCTACAGTAAAGAAAGCCACTCATTTCCTTTTCTGTCTATATAACTTCTAATCTCGAACACACAAAAGATGAAAACAATTATAGTTTCTGAAATAATGGAGACTAAGTCATTAACGTACGTTTCTCAGTTTCCACTTTGGCTCCTATGCTTCATCATCATAACCTTGGTCTCCTCATCATCTTCCATATATGGTATGATGATCATCTTTCATTGAAAGAGATTAACGCAGAAGAAGGTTTCGAGTTTCCCAAAAACTTCCTCTTTGGCACTGCTTCTTCTGCTTACCAGGTTCTTAGTATACTTCTTTCCTCTTACTTCAATGCTCAGTATAAACTCCCAAGTTTTAACATTAGTTTATGTGTGGTCTTATACCCTCATGATATGTTTTCTCTTTTCAGTATGAAGGAGCTTACTTAACAGATGGCAAAAACCTAAGCAACTGGGATGTTTTCACAAGCATCCCTGGTTAGATCTCATGGAACAACCCTATTGTGAATTGTTATCTAATTTAGCTTTTTTTATAAAAGCAGAAGTTTCGAAACTTGTATAGTCCTCTTTCATTTCTTGCTGCTCAAGTCACCATATGAAACATTTCTTGATATATCTTTGTATAGGAAAAATCGCGGATGGAAGCCATGGGAAAGTCGCTGTTGATCATTATCACCGATATCCGGTAAATAACCCTAAATATATACATAGAATACTGATCTTTTCCGATACAAATCTCTAAAAAGGTGTTTTTTTTTTACACTTAAACAGGAAGATTTGGATCTGATGGAAGATCTCGGAGTTAATAGTTATAGACTTTCTTTTTCATGGGCTCGGATTCTTCCAAGTGAGATTCTTGTTTTTTATTTATTTTCGATCTTTCTCTAACAAATCAAAGTCTTTTTCAGTCTTTTCAATGACTTTTTGTGTTACCAGAGGGAAGATTTGGAGATGTGAACATGGGTGGTATCGATCATTACAACAGAATGATCAATGCTATTCTCAAAAGAGGTAAATACTAATTGATATAGATTTCTTGAAAAATGTTCTCAATACCAAGAAAACGAAAATAAAACTACACCTAGCACAATCATTTTCAGGGATCGAGCCATTTGTCACGTTAACACATTACGACCTTCCTCAAGAACTCGTAGTTAGATACGGAAGTTGGCTAGATCCCCAAATCCGGTACGTATAAACACACACACACACTCACATGTTAAGCGTAGATAAGTAAACTAATACACTTAAGAGTAACCAATTGTTTCTTTCAGGGAAGATTTCGAAAACTACGCAGAGATTTGCTTCCGACACTTTGGGGATAGAGTGAAATTTTGGGCTACGTTTAACGAACCAAACGTTCAAGTTGTTTTGGGTTATCGGACAGGAACTTACCCGCCTTCACGTTGTTCCAAGACTTTTGGAAATTGCACACATGGCGACTCGGAGATAGAGCCATTTCTTGCCGCTCACAACATTATCCGTTCACATCTAGCCGCCGTCAACTTATACCGGACGAAATTTCAGGTACATCACAATTATAACCGTTACAAAATACTTTACAACTGTTTAAAACAAGAATGGTTTCGTACGTTTAGGAACAACAAAGAGGAAAGATCGGTATTGTTATGAACACGATCTGGTTTGAACCGGTTAGTGATTCTTTAGCAGATATATTAGCTGTTGAGAGAGCTCAGGCTTTCTACTTGACTTGGTAAGCTGGATTGGTTTTAAAAAACTAGTTCATACCTTAACAAAATACCGGAATTTTAAGTCGAAAGAGCGTAAAAATTGCAGGTTCTTGGATCCGGTTGTGTTTGGAAGATATCCAAGAGAAATGCAAGAAATTCTCGGCGAAGATCTTCTTGAATTCACTAAGGATGATCTTAAAAGGTCCAAGAATGGATTAGACTTCATTGGGATTAATCAGTACACAAGCAGATACGCGAAAGATTGTCTTCATTCAGCATGTGAACCAGGCAAAGGAGGTTCGAGGGCTGAAGGTTTCGTTTATGCAAACGCCCTTAAAGACGGTTCACATTTAGGCGAACCGGTATGCAGACAGGCCAATTGAAAGTGAAAATCTTTTCAGAAACCTTTATGAGTAATTTTTTTTTGGTAATGATGCAGACTGGAGTAAATTGGTTTTCTACTTATCCTCAAGGGATGGAGGAGATGTTGATGTATGCAGCAAAGCGATACAAAGACATTCCATTGTATGTAACAGAAAACGGTAAGCCACGTCGCCCAGACTGTCTGAGTCTCTGCGGTTTTTTGCGGAAAGTTTTCATCTCTTCACTTTTGCAGGTTTTGGTGAGAACAACACCGGAGTTTTGTTAAACGATCACCGGAGAGTGAAGTTCATGAGTAACTACTTAGATGCACTCAAAAGAGCAATGAGGTAACAATGCTCCAACTACAAACAAAACTCAAATATGTCTTGATTCTAAAACCCTAAAGCTACCGGTGATATAGGAAAGGAGCAGATGTAAGAGGATACTTCGCCTGGTCATTACTTGACAACTTCGAGTGGATATCTGGTTATACTATTCGGTTCGGTATGTACCACGTCGACTTCAAAACTCAAGAGAGAACCCCGAGACTATCAGCTTTTTGGTACAAGAACTTCATTTTCCATCACAGAGCTCAATCCAAATATGGTTGATTGCCTGAAACAAAAGAAAGACCAAATTTATATATTTCTTATTTAATTCTTAGTATAGTAGGAGAGTCATGTAATAGTAAGCTTTTCTATAGAATCAGTTTCAATAAACCAGCGTCTTCACCTCTCATTTACCGCGGCAAGTTTAGATAAGTCCCCAACATCAGAACATGTGTTTTATCTCCACCATGGAGTCCCAGCTTCATAGAAGTGCTCGCCATCATCATCATCCCATGAGATTTGACAAGCTTGAAGACCAATTCCTACCCTCGGTTCTTTCCCATGCCTATCAATCCATTCAGCAACAGCAGTTTCCTTATCGTTCTCTTCCATTGTGTAATGTTTCTTTGCTTTCCCATAAGGGTTGATCTCAGGATTCATCATTTCCGCTATAGCTGCTGGCATGTACATAGAGTCACCAACCAATGGTGCCCCATAAGCTGCAAGCTGGGCCCGGATCTGAAACATTCATTCAACGTAGTGATTGGATGATCCCAACATATCAGATGAGCATGTTTTAGTAAGGAGATAAGTGTCGATGAACCCACCTGGTGAGTCTTGCCTGTTAAAAGGTTTATTGTACACTCATAAGCAAATTCTTTTGATGTCCATCCACAGTCTTCAATATCATGTTTCTTCTCAGTACCTGCATTGGGCCAAGGAATCTTCTTACATTCCAAAACCTCAAGTTGACACAAGTGCCAGCCTTTAATTGAATCTGCAGTTCAAGAAATATTCACATCGTTAGGAAGATCCACAATCGAATAGTCAAATTATGTTTTGATGATTCTTGACATTTATAAATAGAGTTAACTAGTTTATACCTTCTGATACGAGTCTTGGAGCCATATTTTTGGGGCGCATATAATGTGAGATGATTCCAGTGGGAAGAGGTGCCGCTGCAAGAGCACGATATAGTTTCTTCACTTCTTTGTCCTTGAAGAGAAGACAAAAAACCAAAGATTTTAGTACAATTAAATAATCCCCACAACTTGTTCTTGATTACAGTCCGAGAACATTGTAAAGCAAACTCACTCTTATTTTCATGTGGAAGACCGAGCAGTACTCTTTCGTTCTAGCAAAGACAACACTGTAGTAGAGAAATAAACAAAGCAATGTGACCTGGTCAATTAACGATGTTAAATTACAAACTTCAAAGCATGGGGAAAGTTTTTTACAGGACAGTACCATCCCTCTGTGCAGTTATCAATCTGATGCGTTGTTTTCAGTGGTTCTGGTAAATCCAATGCACGTGAGGCAAATGTGGCACAACTCTCTTCGATATTATCCGTTGTGCCCCCAACCTAATAGAAAGAATTCCAATGTGGCTACGTTCAGTACTTAAAACCCCAAATCAGAAGTTTCTCAGCAATCGACAAAAGGAAAGATCTTTACAATGAAACATTTTGATAGTAAGTTACAGTCCCATAATGTAAGAAATTAGTTCAACAATGTTCACACGATGAAGTACTTTTTGCAAGATCTCTAATGCAACTACAATGGTCAAGAATACAGAGAAGAAATCATAATGGATCTATTACATACCGTAGTCCCTGCAGGTTTATCCAAAATGACATAAGAGTCAGTCACAGCAATAATCCGTGACTTCCAATCAATTTCATAGCACCTGAAATACAAAATCCAAAATATTAAACTGATAATCACCAAAGCTGTCAAATTCTTAACATATCCTTTTATCATATGTAATTTACCTTGGTGAACGTTTTGGGTGAACGTGCACACGCAAATAAGTTCCAGCTTCCGCATACTGATCGGTATGAGTCACACGAAACGTTTTCTGAGCTTCTCTAACAGTTTTTCCTTTAATAGAAGATCTCTTTTTCAGTACAGAAGGAGAGGTCACTTCTTCAAACAGTTTAATTTCCTCAGGAGTCGCAGTTGGTGGAGGCTTAGGGCATACAAGAGCGTAATGTACAGCTCCAAATCGAATAAGATCTGCAACATATCTTCACAGAATGAAAAAGTTATACACTCCGTTCCAGCTCTAAACATACGAGTTCTTAAGACCACAAAGAGTTAGTACTTACAAAGGAGGAAGATCCAATTGTCTAGAGATAAACTCAGCTACGAGAACGTCGTCTTCTAAAACAACCATATGCTCAATTCTTGGTGGATTATTATACGCAGGACATGGCATCAATCGATTGTATTCAGGGTATCTGAAAAACAAAACACATAAAGCAATTGGATTTCATAGTAAAGTATCGAAATTTGAATGAAGAGAATCAAAAGAATCAAACTTTGAGCATACCCAGAAGTGGAAGAAGACGTTAGTGTGGTTTGATTTTGAGAATCGGTTTGAAGTAAAGACAAGCAGGTGAATCTCCTTGAAGAAGAAATGAAACGTGGAGAGTCTTTTTTGTAGAGACTCTCATTGGAACGAAACAAAGGAGTAGTAGTAGTGATACGGGTGGATGCTAAAGTGCGCAGGAGAGATACCGGCGCGGTAAGGTTCCGGTAACCGCCTGCTAACGCCGGCGAAGCCATGGTTGATGATGCTGTGGTAATGTGACCTATGAATCGTTATCGTTATAGCGCCAATCTACTATTTGGGCCGTTAAAAACATGTTTTGGGCCAGATTTGAATTGGTCCAGTTGATCTAGTGGTTTATTCCGGTTTGTTTCTATTTTAATTTTGGTTAGTAAACAGAATAATTACTTTTCTCTTAAATTTATGATTACTAATACAAATCATGCAGTCTCTAGTTTTAGTGGGATTGATCGAAATTATTATGTTCCCTGACTTTAGTGTAAAAGGAGAAACATATTAATTTAAGTGAAAGTTCAATTAATCCACGGCATGATAGTAGGAAAAGGAATTGAATTAAACCATCATGATTTTAAATGTTAATGAAAAAGGTCATATAAATGTAAGTATGGTTTTTTTTTTTAACAAGTTGGGTTGTTTTAATTAATTTCACATAGTGTATGTAACTTTATTTTATCAACCGAATCATATTTTGTCATTTCTCCAACAACCTTGTGTGCATTATGAAGAGCATCATTGCATTGTTCCTTTTGCAACAACATCTCTATCCGCTTCAAAATCCTCAAATCTTCCAATTTTTGTTTTTTTTTTGTTGTAGTAAAAAAAAAATGTCTAAAATTCCTAAATATGTGACAAACCAAAAATTCAAAGTAGAGTAAAAGGAAGAAAATAAAATAAAGAACTGAATGACCAACCAACCAAAGCCATCATATAAAAAAAGACATGTACATTTTTCTATTACTTTAGCTTCAAGCATCTCATTAGTCATTACCACTAGATCAATAGAAACAAAACAAGACAACGCAGAAGCTACTCACGAAGCTCTTTCTTTCAATGGCTGCTCCAATCGCCATAGGCACTCGAGGAACTATAGGATCGCTTGTGCGTAAAGAAATAGACTACTTCAAAAACTTCAGTTCATGTTCTCCTCAGTTTGATCCACGGAGGGGAAATTCTGAAGACAACACCAAAAAATCTCAACAAAGAAGAGATCTCTCATCATCACGTCTGACTTCTTGGTTCTCTAAAGCCAATTGGAGAAAGAAGAAGCGGCAGAGCCGCGGTGGTGGCGGTGGCAAGTTTCTGCCGAGTATGTGCTCGGCGGTGGAGGTTTCCGGTGAGAATCGAGTTCCTGGTTTCAACTATAGGATCTTGAAGAGTGATCATGACAAGGGTTTGCGTGTGTAGAGGAGTAATTACGTACTTACTATGGATTTACGGTAATTAAATAGATCTTCATATTAACTTTTTATTTATTTTTTGTAATATTCAAATTTAAAATTATATTATGTGTGAATTTGTTACATTTTACAATGTCAATGAGCATATATTCGAACTTTTTGTTTTTGTGAAAAGGTAAATATATTCGAACTTTTGAAATGAGAAAAAAGGAAAAAAGAAGAAGTTATGTTGATGCTAAAGTTGGTTCGATTCCATCCGGTCTATATTTCGGTTTAAATGCAATTCCGCTCGGTGTATCGTTGATGTACATATGAATCCTACGTCGCAAAAGTCAAAACCCTTTAACGATGGGGGACAAAAAGGCCGAACAACCTAAAGCTAGTTGCTCTTTGGGAGTAGTAATTATGAGTAGGGAGTAGTGAGTTTAGGTTGTGTCTATGTCTGAAATCTTCTTTTATTATGTCTATGTCTCGTTCAACATGTAAATATATGTATGGACGTTTCTATTCAGATTTTTGTTTTTATAGCTTGTGTTTAAATGCATGTTCTTATTGGGTGCGTTTCACTTGCACTGGCGTATAGAAGGATCCTTTTTACATGTATCGTAGGTGCTCTCCTTCTTTTCTCTCATGTATAGTTGCTATGCAGAGTTTAATTAGGTTGAAGCAGTTTGCAAGGTCAGAGTTTACTTCCCACGAATTCTTACTATTTAACTATTTGAGCTTATTGTTTCTACTCTCTAGAGAAATGTTGGGCCTAGTGTAACTTAACTTTCTATATACTTTGGTTGCCGGTTCAAGTTCAGAAGATTTATTTGAGCTCATTACAATTTCAGTTCTTGATAGTACCTTGAAGAGTTGCAACTTCATTTTGTTGCAAACTATATCAAAGGAACTTAGCTGCTGTGATTATAAATTTATAATGAAGTTTACACCTCGGTCATATGTATAGTATTCCATTGTATTCAATAAATCTCTGTTGATGTTAGTTAAAACCAAATTAATGTGGGTTGTATTCTTTGGTCTAAAACTGGTTTGGTTGTTAATCATATTCGGCAAAGGTGAATCTGGTGTTGCAGCTGGCTCTAGCTAGTAGCCAGCTGATTTATTCAACTTGAGTTAATTGAAAACACAACTCCAAGACTCCAAATATGGATACTTCATAATCTTCACAGGTTCATGTGCAAAAACAGAGTTCTCGCTCGCTGTCTATAAACAACAGAAATCCTTAGTTTGCGCTGTGGTGGTCTTGAAAACAATCTCTTGGCTTGGCTGTCTTTGAGATGCTAAAGCTTTGTCTTGTTCTTAGGAATTCTGAGGTGGAAAAATGACGCAGCCACATGCACGGTCAAATTCTTAATCATTGATTTTTTTTTTTTTTGTTTATTATACGTTTCTTAACATTAGCCGCTTTACATTCGGTTTTGTTCGTTTCCTTTGGCGTAATTATTATCGAAAACTTAATTTAATTTATGAACTTTATAGCAATTGAAAATTTAAAGCGTCCGAAGCCTTATACGTTGACACGTTTGTTTATGTCTGCATAATTCTTGATATATCCAGTAACGATATCGATAACACGTCTCCAACACTCAAACACGGTCAAGCCGCCTACCTAATCCACCTCTTGTTACAAAACAATATCTTATGGCATGTGTTACACGATTTGTAAATATACAGATAGATAGATATATTATGGTAAATCCCTAAAAAGTTACAAGTGTCACTGACATAATTTTTGAATTTACATACATATAGTTAGTTTTTAAAATTGGAAATGATAATTCTACATATGAACCTTTAAAATCTATATATATGTTCTTTTTAGTAATATATAAAATTACAACAAAATTTCAAATATGATAGATCACACTTATACATATCTTGTCTAATTTTTTTCTTTGTATGAAGGATACCATAAATTACGTTTCTAGAAACAGTTTACATATTATCAATTTGTTAAATTAAAATCTAATATATTGATATAATTACAGATAGGAAAGAAATAAATAATTTATGAGGATAAATAAAAACTACGAAATTTTGAAAAAGGTTTTGACTAATTGATCTCATTGTTTTATTCTCTCTCATTAGTCATTACATCCCTGTTACTGGACAATATATATTGTTTTTTGGGTATAAAATGTGAATATTTAGTAACACATATAGTCACTAATAGTAGTAGAACATGTTTACTTATTTTTAGTAACAAATCATGGATAAAATATTCAACAAATTTGAAAACAAAATACTATTAGAGTTTAGCTAAAACTAAATATTACTCAAAAAGAATTAAACCAAGAATCATCTACTTTTTAATAAAATCTTTTCGTTTTTTTTTTTTACTTTGTTAAAAGAAATCTTTTTGGTGTAAGAATTTACCTTTTCTAAAGTATTTATTTGGGTCATGAAATGATATAATGTTTTTAATTTTATATTAAGAGGACGTGTGAGGGAACAAGCCAGAAGAGTCTCTACTCTATCGAAAAGATCGCATCATTCTTAACCGTTAGATCTTCCTCTTCATTTGTCATCTTCATCTCTCTCTCTGCCATCTGACCTGTGTGAGTTGCAGTATTCAAACAACTCATCCCATCTCTTTTGTCCGCCTCTCGGATTCCGAAGAGCTACGATTAGGGTTTCTGGGTTTCGAAACCGTTACTTGGGTTCGATTCGGCGGATTTTGGATTCTTTCTCTCCTGGGGAAGTCTAACCCCTCACCCACCGGAATAGCTGATATCGAGGAGGAGAATGGCGGATTCGGGTCTGATGATGCCGGCGGAGATTGCTGGATTTTTAACGACGGCGTTTACGAGCTGGTGGGATGATGTTAACGAGTCAACTCAGTGGCAAGATGGGATCTTTTTCGCTCTCTGTGGTGCTTATGCTCTTGTTTCCGCCGTTGCTCTTGTATGATTTCAAATTTCCTCATAATTAGTTGAGCTTTTTTGGTTTGGGAGCGAATTAGTTTTCAAAGATGCTTAATTTAAGGTTATAAATCAAATCCTTTGCGTGTTTGACCTATCTTTCCTCTTATGTTAACAATCTGATTCCTGGAAATGGCGAAGTATCCTTGTTGAAACATCGTTTTCTATATCTAAATCACGGACCTTTCAAATATTCTTTGTATAATAGTTGATTGATTTGTTCTATACTTTATTTCTGGGTTTTGGTTAGTTGACTGAGGTGAAAACCTGTAGGTTTTGCAATTGCTGACTTGTTTTTGTGTGTGTCTAAAATGGGGTTTTAATTGGTAGGTTCAACTGATAAGGATCCAGATGAGAGTGCCTGAATATGGTTGGACCACTCAGAAGGTGTTTCATCTTATGAACTTTGTCGTCAATGGAGGTGACGATCCGTGGTTTTCTTTGACAATTTGATAGGATTTTTGTGTTTCTTTTTTTGTCTGCACCATTGGGATTATGTTTTGCTGACTTTCTGTGTTGTGTGCAGTTCGTGCGGTTCTCTTTGGATTTCACATGCAAGTGTTTCTTGTGCATCCCAAGGTGAGAATGTTCTCAACTTTATTCTGGTTAATGCGTGTTTGTTTTGGAACTGATGGATTTTGAAAGCCGCATCTTTAGTATCTAATGCTGCTGCGATGTGATGCAGGCTCTTTGCTGGATACTATTGGATCTTCCAGGCCTCCTCTTTTTCTCGGCGTACACTCTGCTTGTGCTGTTCTGGGCAGAGATATATCACCAGGTATCTAGAAAGAAATATTTGTTGTGTGTCGACTCTCTTTTAAACCATCCAGACAAGCTCTGAATTCATATGTTGTTGTCACTAATGTGCAGGCCAGAAGCTTACCAACAGATAAGCTGCGGATAACCTATATTTCAGTCAATGTGGCTGTATATTTGGCTCAGGTTCATGTCTGATTCTTATTGTTTTATTTATATGTTGTAGTTATTGAGATCCCTGAGATTCATTTATACATCTTTTGCATTATTGGTGTTTAGAAATTGTAGTTTGTGTGTGTTTCCTACCTTGTCTCATTAACTTTGTAGCCATCCTTTCTACTAAGAATCTGTGTGACTAATGTCTCTATCAGATTGGTATCTGGGCATACATCTGGGTAAATGATAACAGCACTGTGGAGATAGTTGGAAAGATATTTATCGCAGGTAGGTTTTTTGTCTGGTCAAGCAAGTTTAATGAAACCATTACTGCTTAATCTATAATACCCCCTCTCTTATCTGAACTCTGTTTTGACATTTTTTTATTGTTTATTTTCTTGTCTTTAAGTTGTGTCTTTCATCGCGGCATTAGGCTTCTTGCTGTACGGAGGAAGGTCTGTGTGTTTGTTATTTCCACATGTCTCATTATCGAAATGTCCGCAAGTTCTTCAATGACTTTACTGGGCTGTCTTTTCTCATGTGTTTTTTTGTATGGTATAGATTGTTCTTCATGCTAAGAAGGTTCCCTATCGAGTCAAAAGGAAGAAGGAAGAAACTCCATGAGGTATTCAGATTTATAGATATGTATGCGTATGATTGTGCTTGTGTAGTTAGTTATATGTCTTACTTAGTTCCATAGAACGTTGAACGCTGACAGTATTGCCGTCAAATTCATTGCTTTTCATCGATTTGCCTTTTAGTAATTGAAATGTTCTTCATTGCAGGTTGGGTCTGTGACAGCCATATGCTTCACCTGCTTCCTCATAAGATGTATTGTGGTAAGCTCTGAAAAAATGAAGTCTTTATCTTCAGTTATAATTTTAGTCATGGTGTGATGAGTGTTTTGATGTTTTTCCATTCAAACTTCAGGTGGCTGTATCAGCTTTTGACAAGGATTTAACCCTTGATGTTCTTGATCATCCAGTTCTGAACTTAATCTACTATATGGTAAGTAACAACTACACCTTAATCTGTTGTCTATTTTTCAATCTCTGTTTCTGTTTCTTTATTAACTGGAAACAAAAACCCACCAAACTACAGGTGGTCGAGGTACTTCCATCGGCACTAGTACTCTTCATTCTCCGAAAGCTACCTCCAAAGAGACCATCAGATCAGTACCATCCAATCCAGTAACCATCACGCGGTGATTCTGATGATGTTTAAGAGAAGAAAAGATTAAAAAAATTGGGGCAAAAAATCTAAGGGGGTGAAGAAGAAATCTGAGTGGAATCTGCGTGAGTTTTTGGAATGCACGATCATATGATTTTACAGCTTTAGTTGTAGCCCTCCCGCCTTGACTTTTCTTTGGTAGTTTTATTGTTGTTATGTCTGTTTTAAATTATATATGCTCCTCTGCTACTTTGGAAAATCTGGTCTCAGTGCAAACAAAGATGTTTAAACATTTGTTGAGCGATGTTAATGTTATGTTGGGTGAAAAATAAACAAATGTTTTTATATACTTTATTGTCATTTTGTGTATTAATCTTATTTATTTATGGTTTTCTCAATTATCAAGCTTATTGGGCCTTGGACATGATTTTTTCTAAACGGGCCATCGCAATTGACCAAAGCCCAAATCTCTCTTGGTTTTCCAAAAATGGTCTATTCCATTACAGCAACAAATCAAAGCCCTAACACTGTTGTTCATAGACACGACGACTGACTGAGGTCTTTTTTCTCTCGTTCTCGTCTTCGTCTTCCTCTTGATTCTCTCGTCTTGTCTGGAGTTTCGCTGTGTTTTTTAAACTGTAATAAAAAAAGAAGGATATTTCGTAGAAATCTGTATGCTCCGATCCCTGAATCTGTCACACCTCTGTTGAATAATCCCTTTGAGCATCGAATCAACTCTAGTTCAAATTTATCAATTCCTTTTCCAAGTTTTGTAGTTTCTGCTCTTTGTGTTTTCTGGAATATGTTGAGCATGAAACTTGAAATTTGTATAAACATAGACTAAACTTGAATCTTAGGAACTTGAAATTGTGGTGTTCTCGGGGTTGATAGGATTGTGGAAGTTAGTTCTGTCCGTGACTCACCTCTTGCTTCGTCTTTCTTCTTAAGCTTTGAGATTGCTGTGAATATAAGTATTATGTATAGAAGAGTGAATTTTGGGATGAGGAAACTGAAAATGGTGATTTTTTGGCAGTTGAGATCATACAAGAACAAGCATTTTGCAAGTGATGGATCCTATGGAGTCGTCTAGTGAACAGGTGATGAGCTCATCTCTGTCACTTTAATGGCCTTATTCTCGGTTTATCTGCTTATACAATCAAATGACAACTGTTTTTAGAGGGTGCTATTAGCTTAATTTACTGCAAATATAACTGAAGAGAACATGTGAAATGAAGTTGTTTCTTGTCGTTTTTAATTTTAAAGGACATTGTTGAAGAGAAACAAAAGCTGGTTGACTCAATGGACAAGCTTCGTGTTAGTGCTGGGAGTTCGTCTTCTAATTTCAAGAAGAAGCCTGTCATTATCATTGTTGTTGGAATGGCTGGTAAATTTTTTGACTAAATGCTCTTGAAAATCCACTATGTTGGTTTTTGAGTCTCTTGTTAAGGGACTTCAATTGTTTGATGGGAGGTGATTTTTGGTTATGTGCTCAGGTAGCGGAAAAACAAGTTTCCTTCATCGTTTGGTCTGCCATACGTTTGATTCAAAGAGCCGTGGGTATGTGGTGAACCTTGATCCTGCTGTTATGTCTCTACCGTTTGGTGCCAACATCGATATAAGAGACACCGTCAAGTACAAGGAAGTTATGAAGCAGTACAATTTGGGGCCTAATGGTGGAATTCTCACTTCACTCAACTTGTTTGCTACTAAATTCGATGAGGTACAAATGCCTCCAGAATTGGTCTAAATTATGATTTCCATCGCACTTGATGGTGGTTCTCTCGGTTTTTCTATTCTTGATTGCTCTGTCTTTGTTTGCTACTTGTTTTTTAGGTCGTCTCTGTGATTGAGAAACGTGCAGACCAGCTTGATTATGTCCTTGTTGATACTCCTGGTCAGATTGAAATCTTTACATGGTCTGCTTCTGGGGCTATAATCACTGAAGCTTTTGCTTCAACATTCCCCACTGTTGTCACCTATGTGGTTGATACTCCACGTTCCACAAGCCCAATCACTTTTATGAGCAACATGCTCTATGCATGTAGCATTCTCTACAAGACTCGGTTGCCTCTCATCTTGGCTTTCAACAAAACTGATGTTGCAGATCACAAGTTTGCTTTAGAGGTTATCTTTCATTTACTTTCTACTTTATATTTATTGTTGTAATATTCTCTCTAATCCTGTGGTATTGGGTTGGGTTTAATCAGTGGATGGAAGATTTTGAGGTGTTCCAAGCAGCAATACAGACTGATAATTCATACACGTCCACCTTAGCTAACAGTCTCTCCCTTTCACTCTATGAATTCTACCGGAATATAAGATCTGTTGGTGTTTCTGCTATCTCTGGTGCTGGAATGGATGATTTCTTCAAATCCATTGAAGCAAGTGCTCAGGAATACATGGAAACTTACAAGTAATGATAGACTATTCTCTACAATTCACCCCCTTTTGTCTGCATGTTTTATGCTTATGACTTGAGTTTTATTTCAGGGCTGATCTTGACAAGAGAATGTCAGAGAAGGAGCGGTTGGAAGAAGAACGAAAGAAACATGAAATGGAGAAGCTAAGAAAGGATATGGAGAGTTCTCAGGGAGGGACTGTAGTTTTAAACACTGGTCTGAAAGACAGAGATGCAGCAGAGAAGATGATGCTAGAGGAGGATGATGAGGACTTTCAAGATGAAGAAGACAGTGATGATGCCATAGATGAGGATGATGAAGATGAAGAGATGAATCGTTACTACCTATGAATTGAACTCAGACACTAAACTTTCAGACTCTATCAATTTCGCTTTAACTGGCTTTGTTTGCATCCTTCCCTTGTTGTCCCAGTTGTGTAGAAAGAACCGAATCTCTTTGTGAGCCATTGTCTAATGATCTAATGACTAAACTATATAAACTAGAACTTATGAAGACTTTTGTATACAATTTGCTTTCATATGCACAAGGGGAAACACACTTGTATCAGACAGAAAACTAAGGAAAATTCAGATCCAACACTCTTATCCTCAACTACAAAGTCAATAGTTGATGCCCTATTAACTACAAAAGTCAAGGTGCGTGTGGCTGGTGTTTTGGAGGATGAAGCTTCAGTCTTGGTGGATATCCTCAAAAGGCACATGGGCAAACCTCACATCTTCTGGCCGTGCAATCACCACAGGTTCATCAGCAAACAGGGCTTTGAGGAACGATGGAGTTTTCAAGGGATGCCGAGCAGTCATTCGTGGATATACAAACGCCAAGAAGTAGTATGCATGACCCGCTATCATTCCCTGTAGGTTGGAGACAAAGCTTAAGGATAAGGAACAGAGATAAAGGGATTACAAAATGGTCGAACTCGATTCAGGAGAGATTGCGTACCAGAAAATCCCCCCATGCACTTGCACCAACAAGGATAGAGAATCCAAGAAGCACCTGCATTTCATAAATTGGCAAAAGAGGCCATTTAAATTATTTATAAAGTTATGGAACTCCGAGAAGAAAATACGAAAGGCCAACTCACCCATGGTAAATACGCTGCTGTGAAAGTGAAAAGACCAAGGAAACTCATGTGGATATAAGGATTTTGTTTACTCCACACATAGACCTGCAGAACAGAGGCAAAATGTCAAGATTGTCTTGGGATGAATTTCAAACCATAGGTGAATTAGTTTTGAAGTCAAAGATAGAAGTGTTACCATCATGAAAGTCAAAGAATTGCTGAGGAAGATGATTTTGGAGAATGACACGGACAAATAAGGTATCATTCCACCAATGAGAACAATACCAGTCAAAACAGTCGCCCCAAATAAGAGCATGTAAAGGAAATCTGCAGTCTTTCCCCTGAAGGAGTTTTCTTCGAGGAGTTTGCAGTATCTAGCAAGAAAGAACATATGGAACAAAAAGTCCAAGTCTGCAAAAAAAGATTGATAGAAACGAGCATGTCAAGTTCTAGCTGAGAATTACAAAGGAAATGAATCCACACAGGAAGCATAGTCCTAGAGATGTCAAGGTCTTAATTAGAAAATCAGGAGCATTATCAATAGAACAAAGACTCGAAAGCATATCAACAAGTAACATAACTGTAGCAAAAATAGAAACGGGCTCTTCAACTTCTTAACATATGACACTTCTTCTACAAAGTAAAACTTCAGACAGAACTACGAATTCAGCTACAGAAACAAGCCATCTATTAGGAATAGAAGATCTTAATACTCCAAGGAAGACAATTTCATATGCAAAATATAGTCCAAGAGGACTAAGAGAAGAAAATTTCTCAGAAATACTACAAATGTATATACCACAAGAGTTCAAAGAAAATTACCCATCTTCCGGAAATATAGAAAATTAGTAACGAGGCGCCAGAACTGGTATTGCTTCACCACAAGGGTAGGATTAAGGTAGAGATTATAAGGAGATATAATCTGCAAAAATGTTCCACAAAAATGTTAACAACAATATAACACCACATCACTCAGCTCTAAAATGAACCATTATCCACCCCAATTCCAATAAAGAGTGATCCTTTACCTCAAAAACAAATCCATCCACACATACAGAAACACAAAGGTTCAATTTTTTCAATAAAAAAACCAATCAGATCAATTTAGAGCAACGTTAAAAAGGCTAAACGAGCTAGAAAACTTTCAAACCTCGAGCGAACACCCCACGGTGGTGACTACAGCCGCCGTGAGATACGACCGCGTTATAATCGGCATCTGTTTGTACCATTCTTCTACAGCTTGAGCCATTATCCTCCTCTCTCCTACCTCTCAATCACACTCGATTTCGATTTCAATCACCGAGCAATTGAACGACAAAAAAACCAAAATCAAAAGACACCCAAATCGAATTGGATAGAAACTTGTTACGTTGAAATGAGAGAATTTGTGGGATTTTAAATCACCTCTCTACGTTAAAAAGCTTTGAATTAACGAAAGCGACTCTTAAAGGTTCGCTCTTTTTTTTTTATTCCCGATGTTTATCTGTTGTGTGACAATACCTTAACGAATAAAAAAGCGCGTAGCTTACACGAACCAATAAAAAATAAACTCCTGACGCCAGAGTTTTCTACTAAGTTTTATAACAATCGTGACGTTCTCCATCCTATACAAACGGCAGGACGTTCGTATTGAATAAAGTACAGTGGCGTGATTTTCGAATATTTTGGAATTGTTAGAATACAAAATAAAATCATTTGATTTGTTTTTATATTTATTTATTCTCTAGTCTTTCAAAAGTTCAAATTCAAAAGAACTCTGTGAAGAGATTTTGAACAACGGTCTCTCTCTCTCTAACGAGTCTCCGATACTTCTTCATCGATGAACGAAAATGAACCGCCGTGCGCTTCACCAGCGCGGCCACGTAATCCGCCGCCGTCATCGCTACTCAATGACATATCCAATTTCAAAACGCCGGGGCGTTCTTCTGTTGTGAATTCTAGAATCAGTAAATCTCCGTATCTGCATTTCTTCACTGCATCTAAGCAAACCCCAAAATCTTCGTCTTCTAACCTCCGTCGTCCTTCCATGGTTCCTTCATATACGTCTCGGTCTAAAATGGTGGCTTCGTCGAAGCGGCTTAGGGCATTTGAACTTCAGCAATCTCAATCTTCACGCAAGGCTGAGTTGACGAAAGAGAAGAGTCTTAGATCTCTTGCTAAATCACTCACTGTTTGGCTCAATTTCCTTTTTGAAAACCCGGAAACTTGTGGTTGCGCTCCGTTCGAAGATGGCTTGGGTGTTGGTAGCGTAGGGAACTTAGGTAAGGGGAAGAGAGATAGTGGCGAGGCTTTAGGAAATAGTAATAGTGTGGGAGTGGATACAATGTGGCGAAGCCCCAAAAGGCTGAGGAAATTAGGTTGGTGTGGTGAGAAAGGTTCAGAGATTGGCTCTTCCTTGACTGGTTCCAAGTATTCCACGCTGAGGGAATCTTTAAGAGATGTTTGTAGTCTAGATGATTTGAAACAGAGAATGCAATTTCACTTGAGTTTAGGAAGTTGCAAGGAGATTTTTGATGTGATGACTCGTGTTACCAAGGTAAAAGCATTTCCTAATATCCTTGTGTATAAAGACAGTGTTTTTTTTTTTTTTTTGCTTTTGGGTTGTGTGGGACATTGATTTTATACTCTTTGTTTAGGATAGTTAACTTGGTTCAATCTTATTGTTCTTGTTTCAGAATATTGATGAAGGGAGGATAAAAATGAAACCACAATGCCCTCTTGTAACTGATTTTGGAATGAAGGAGAAGGCCATCAAGGCACTGATGTGCTATAACCAAGTTTGGCTTCGTTTAGGTTTGTATATCATCTTTGGCGGTGATTCCTTTTTTTCTGGCAGTGAAGTTAACTCAGATCAAGAAATGGCATTCTTGAAGATGGTAATTAATAAGCAGTTCTTCTCCCATGATGGCCTTGCTAGAGCCTATGCCTATAACAAGATGGTTGAGGGTTTATATAGACCAGGGTACTATGAAGCTCTTGGAACCGTGATTTTGAAGAGGATTCTGTTGCTCGTCCTTGTGATTGATAGAGCTAAATCTCAAAGCTGCCTTTCACTGAAGTATGGCATTGATGGAATAGATGGTGGCTCACCCCTCATGTTCTCAGAGAAATCTAGCATAAAGTCTAGCCACCAACTTATATGTGGTACTTTCTTAGAATTTTCTGTTTAGTTTGTCAGTTTCTTACTCTGTCATAATTACAGCGGCTAATTTTCCATCTTCTGCTTTGAACATAGAATTCTTGTCCTCTGATGTAATGCATGGAGAAGGGAATCTCCTAGCACATCTAGTGATTATAGGGTACAAAATACCTTATCAGCAGGTAAATTTCAGTTAAAAGTCAATGTAATGTCTTATATGAGATCTCGGTTGCTAAATGCGAAGTGTATGATGTTTCACTAACTTCAATAACTGTAATGGATCTTGCAGTCTCCTCTAGTTGAATATGAATTTAAAGTGAGAGAACTGTTTGGTGACCTCCAAGATGGTGTGCGGCTCTGCAGAGCCATTCAACTACTTCTTCATGATCCATCCATTCTTACGGTTTGTCTTTAAATTGATTTTAATCAAGAACTTTCAGACTTTCAGTTATGTCTTATTTTGGGAGTGAAATTTATCGTATGAGGCTCTTGGTCAAACAGAAAATGGTTGTTCCGTGCGACAATCGAAAGAAGAACTTGGCCAATTGTAGAATTGCACTTCAATATCTAAAGGATGCTGGTGTTTCGTTAAAAGACGACGAAGGAATGATGATAACTGAAGAAGATGTTGCAGATGGGGACAAAGAGCTGACTATTTCGCTGCTATGGAACATTTTTGTACATTTGCAGGTTAGTGGCTCCTGTTATTCTTTGCCCAATTTTGTTGGATTGCTGTACTTGTCGTCGGATTTTCATTGGTTATGTATACTCTTTAAACTGGACAGCTGCCTCTTCTGGTCAATGGGAGACTCTTAACAGAGGAAATCCACAAAGTTCAGGGGCTGGAACAGGTAAGGCTAAGGACTTGATTTCCTTGGTGCTGATAATTCTTTCCAGTTTCTAGCCATTGTTAGATATTTTGAATCTATGTAGCTTCAACTAGAAGACTCTCAATCAGATCTCTGATGGCTACATTCTCAAGTTACAGTATTGTTTCTCTCTCTTCAATTAGTTCTCTTTTGGATTTCTTTACAGGATAATCAAATTACCATGTCTACTCCTTTAGAGATGCTCTTGAACTGGATCAAGGTAGCATATTATATCAGCGTATTCTTTATTACTTTCCTTACTATGATATTCTTTAGCGTTTTTCTTCACCCAACATGTGAGTGCTTTCTTTCCCTATGTTTATATATGTCTAACCATTTACAATACTTGCATGTCTTGCATTATTCACTCAGTCAATTACCAAGAAGAATGACTTCAAGTTAGAAAGCTTTGCATCATTGGTTGATGGAAAGGGGATATGGTTTTTGCTTGACTACTATTTTCGTCAAGAAGTTTGCTGTCCTTGTTTTCGCAAAGAGGTACGAAATGTTCTTAACTCGAAATCCGGTTCAATGCATTGAAGTTTACCTATGCCCATTTCTCTTAACATATCTTGTAATACAGACAATGCTATTTTTCTGAATAAATTTATATCCAGGATCCTGCTGGTCAACAAGGCCCTCAATCAGTAATGTCCAATACCGATTACCATGATGCAGTTCAAAATTTTATTCTGTCACAAAAGTTGACAGCACTTTTGGGAAGTTTTCCTGAGGTAATAATTGCAGTCTGTGAACGTCTAGTTATTCTCAAGTTTCTCCGGATGAAAAAGTGATTACTAGAAATATGGAACTGAATTACAAAGATGCCCTCTGATTCTTTTCCATTAGATGATTTGCTTTAGTTAGGCTATCATATTATATATGTATGGCGTCATGATAGTGTTATCAATTTCCCGATAATAATTTTGATCTCTGTAGGTTCTACAGATTGGTGATCTATTGGAACATAATGCAGTAGTTAGCAACCAAAGTGTGATTATACTGTTGGCTTTCCTATCATCAAAGCTGATCGTCAAGGAGAATTTGGTATTGCTCTACTACCCCAAAATGTGGCTTTTGTTGTTTAATTTTTTGGATGGCAATTAGATTTTATAGTTACAGGTTATCTTAAAAATTCCTTCTTTTATTAGGAGCAACTGAACTTTCATAAGTTACTGTGCTCGAGCTGTCAAGATCAGGAAAAGAGATACTCGCGCATTAGTTGCAGCAGCTCTGAAGCAGTTAGAAATGAGGAACCGGACACAGAAAATGGAGAAGGTTCCCATTCATCTCTTTTTTACTTTCTTAAAAGTTTAGCAATGAGGAACTAGATCTGATTATTTTGATGTTTACAAGTCTATTAGTGGTTTGCAGTCTTTATATTTCCTTTATTATGGTTTTCCTTTCTGATGTTTGTCACCCTAGTTTCTTAGAGTCTTCAGCTTCTTACAATTAGTTGAATGAAGCAAGTATGCTTGGTGATAATATATATGTATATCACTGGTATTGATGTCAAAAGAATGATGCTATTGTAGATTCGACTAAAAGGTTCCAGGCAATCAAAGCCTGGTGGCAGGATATGGCTAGCCAAAACCAAAATTCAGTTGGAAAAGCTAGTAGCTATACTCTGCAAGACTCCTTGTCTACCAAATGCACTACAGATTTCCAACGAGGTAATTCAAGTTTGATAGCTACTTTTCTCAACTTTTACATCATAAGCCTGCTTTTGATATCCATAGCCTTTTTATGATCTACTTCTTGTAGATGGCACTTAATTTTATCATTATATTTGATTTAGTATTTATTTATCTATTTTCTGTGCCTTGGTAGATAGAGTCTTGAATATTGGAATCTATCCTTATTGATTTTAACATACCTCTTCCTTGCAGAAACCGCAGCAGTGATCATACAATCATATCTTAGGGGACTTCATGCACGCCGCAACTTTAAAAAGAAGATGAGAGCAGTATGCTTCTTACAAGCTGTTGTTCGGACATGGTTGTCAGTGAAACATATAACAGTTCTTGAAAAAATCACTGTTGAAGAAGTTACTTTACACTTATCAGGTAATTATCTGTTTGTGTGAATTCATTGACATTTGACTGATCAAAAAGTTATTCCCTGATGAAATTTTTGTTATTCCTGCAGAAAGATTGGTCAACTTAAAACATGTAGCTAGATATGTCAAGTTCATTGTGGAACGAGGTCGCTTCATCAAGTTGAAGAAATCTACTTCCGTCATTCAAAAAGCTGTACGGAGACATCAGAGCAATCTTCATCATGAGCTGAAAGCAGCATTAAAAATTCAACTAGCTTGGAGGAGTTATAAAGAAAGAGTTATCTCTTCTATAACCATCCAATCTTATGTTCGTGGATGGATCACACGCAGACTAAATGGAACGTACAAGTTTTCTTCCATACTTATTCAAGTAAGTTTACTCAGGTCGTCTGATGTTTTTCTTATGGAACTGGATAACTCAAGTAAGTTTACTCAGGTCGTCTGATGTTTTTCTTATGGAACTGGCCGTTATCCAGTTCTCAGTTGATCATTAAGTCTATCTATAGAAAAGTTGTAGTTTTTTTTACCAGCTGCTTGTCCCAATTTTTTTTCATCATCCAGCTTTCGTTTTCTCTTTGTTTCTTCTTTTGCCTGCCTTTGATATTTCATTTTCCTGTCTAATTAGCCTTTCTGTTTGATTGAGGTGTCTATCAATACTAAGATCTTCTTACATAAAACCACATCGAGAATCCGTATTTCTGATGGCTGCTTCAATGTTTGCCTACACCTGATTTAATAACTTCCTGCATCTAACTGCAGAGATACTGTCGTGGTTGGTTGGCGAGAAGGAAGTTTTATCTTCAGAGAGAAGCATCGATATGCATGCAGAGTGCTATCCGAAAATTTAACTGCATGATGGCTTTTTATCGTCACAAGCATGCAGCCACGGAGGTTCAGCGGCTCATTAGAGGACAAATTGTTCGAAGCAGGCTTCAAGGTGATTAAGCCATTTCTTCAGTACCTTACCTTTAGCTGATTGGATATAATCTTTTCTGGATGCAATTATCCTTTCTTCAATATACAGATGGTTACTCAACTGAATTATTGCAGGAGCTTCTTCTCTCTATTCAAAACTTGACGAAGGCACTACAAGACTTCCACAACACAGCATTGGGATGAAAAAACTGTTACATTCCGTCATTAAAGTGCAGCGTTGGTGGAGGTTTCTCCATTCACAGAAAATGAGAAGAACATCAGCAGTCTTAATACAGAGTCATATTCGAGGTTTATTAGCCAGGCGAAGAACTTCTTTAAAAAGACATTACATTGTCATGATTCAAGTAAGATATGACCAAAGCTACATTTCATCTTTAATAGCTTTCTTTTTAGCTAACATTTCTAAGTTTCATTTACCCTTAAATATCTCAGTCACACTGGAGAGGTTATCTCACACGCAAAGCCTCAAAGGCTCAAGTCCTGGATCTGAGAGTAAGAATGCAAACTTCTGCAGCTAACATAGATGACAAGAAACGACTGATAAACAAGCTTCTTTCTGCGCTTTCTGAACTACTGAGCATGAAAAAAGTCCACAATATTCTTCACATTTGTGAAACTTTGGGTGAGTTTCTCAGCTTCCTATATTTATAGAACTATGTGAACAGACTGTAACATATTTCCTCTACAGATTCGGCAACAAAATACTCTGATAAATGTTGTGAAGAGCTTGTGGAAGCTGGAGCTATAGACAAGCTGCTAACAATGATCCGGTCAGCAAGTAGAAGTATCCCTGATCAAGAAGTTTCAAAACATGCACTATCAACGTTGAGTCACCTTGCTCGTTATCCACAAATGGCAGATGAGCTAATTGATACAAAAGGATCCATTCAGACAATTTTTTGGGAACTACTCAGGTCTTCATTTAGTTCTCAAATCTTCTCCCTAAGAATAAAGTTTCATCTTTTCTCACGTTTGCACTGTTTTTCTCCTTTTCAGAAACAAAGAAGAAGCATATTTCATTGCATCAGACGTTCTGAAGAAGATATGCAATAGCCATAAAGGCGTGGAAGCTGTTCGAAAGCTTCCTGCATTGGTAAAACGGCTACACGCCTTAGTTGAGGAGCTAACTCGTAAGGCAAACTTCGAGAAACGGTTAGTTTTTTTTTTCCTGTTTTCTTGTCTGAATTTATTTGAATGGTTACTCTATAACCCTGAAGCAAAAACTTTACATACAAAGTTTAGGTTAGATCCAAATAAAAAAATATGAATCAAACTTGTCTTAATCTATATATATATTGTGTGATTTCAGGAATGTCAAGGGTCAGACTGAAAAAGAAAAGAGTGAGAGAAGATTAAAAGAAGCTATTGAGCTTCTAAAGCTTATAACCAGAAGATGATTTGGGTAGTTTTATTTCAACTTACTTATGTTTGTGTTTGAAGTGCATTGATCAGTGCACTAAAAAAACTCTTCTCTATTTAGAATCTGTAATTACTTTTAGGCTCTTCTTCAAAACATTTCTTTTGTCTGTCTATTGTCCGACATTCATGATTTCATGTTTATATGACTTTCACATGAATCGGATTCCTGAAGACAATGTGATTCCACTAGTTTACCAACGTTATGAGAAAGATAGGGAAAGAACTTGATATACCTTGATGGCTAAAGCATAGAGATTGGACAACTCTTGAGTAGAAGTGGCATTACTTGCCAACCTCTATACGTGTTACTCTCAACAGATAAATTAAGGAGGTTGCAGAACAAAAATGGATGGATTCACAGCAGAAATGAAACGCCTATAAATATGAGCACAACCAAAAACATGTAATATATAAGTCAAATAAAAAGAGAGATTCTGGTCCTCCACAATTAGATAGCAAAAACTGTCCGCAAGAGAATCAGAAGACAAGTGAAAGGTCATAATGTTGTTCTGTAACCCTGAATTAAAAACTATATCTACATTTTTTAGGTCAAATCCGAATAAGACTGTATGAATTCAGATGTCGTAATCTTAAGTTATTGTGTCCTAAGCTCGGTTTCAAACTTTATGTTGTGTTTAATCAAATGTCCTAATCTTTGCGATGTGTAGGTTATGTAAATCGTTTAGCTTAGTTAAGAAACCTTGCAAATTTCAGGACATGACAGCTTCGTCAACATTATTCACTACTGATCATTGTCACGGATTTGTAAGTAAAAGATGTTTATTAGTGTCATTGAACAAAAGAGTCATATGGTTTATTGGAAAGCAGAGGAAAAAAAAAACACATACAGATGATCGAAATTTCAAATGATCAAAAACCTTTGCAAGATCACACACATATTTCATAATTATTATATTTTATTTTATGAGACAAATCAATGGACCGATCAATTAATGATGATCACTAGGAGGAATCAGCAGAAGCGAATTTGAGAGCGACACTGTTAACGCAGTGACGTTGGTCGGTAGGAGTAGCGTAGCCTTCACCTTTGAAAACATGGCCAAGATGTCCATCGCACACAGCACATGTTATCTCCATTCTTCTTCCACCCATGCCTTCTGGCTATATACACATTAACACAAAACCAACACAAATCAACATCAAAGTTATATTTATATATATGTGGATTCAAATAAAACTATAGAGAAAAGAGTCAATTTATAATTACAGTTTGTTTAATAGCACCAGGGATGGCGTCGAAGAACGCAGGCCAGCCGCAACCAGAGTCAAACTTAGTGGTTGATTTGTAAAGAGCAGATCCACAACCAGCACAACTATAAATCCCTTCGTCAAACTTTTTCACAAACTCTCCTTTGCCTCGTTTACTACAATCACAAAAATCATTACAGCATGTGAATTAAGGTATAGGTAACAACTTACGACGCAAGTAAACCAAATATTAAAAATACTTGGAGGACTTACTCTGTGCCTCTTTCTCTGAGAACCCTAAACTGCTCAGGAGACAGAACCGCACGCCACTCCTCGTCTTGTTTCTGGACTGATCCAATTGCTGGAACTTCTCCTGCCATGATGGGTGATAGGATTTGCAAATGATGTGGGAGAGATATGGAAGAGGAAGTGATTAGAGAGCTTTTAGTTTTATGTTTTTGTAAACAAGACTTGGTTTGGATTGTGTGTGTGATTCAACGTTTATAATTGGTGGGGGTATAAATAGGCATAGACAATAATATTTCAGAAAGAGCTGAGAAGTATAGTCCAAATAAACTATTCTAAAGAAGTAATAATAGTTTAGGTGCATAATTGCTAACGCAATTGCTCTAATTTGACTTTTTAGGTATAGAATATATATATTTTCATTTGATCACTATGCCATTACCATTGATTTCATTTTATTATTTTTATTGGTCACGTTTTCCCCCACTTAAAATTATATGTGTCTTTGAATTTAAAAAGTCTTTCGTTGAGCAAATTAAGAAATAAATTAAGTTAAGGGCCTTAAATTTGTGTTTATGCACGCAAAGGATGATTTCTTATCTCTATTACTAAAACAATTATTTGCCAAAAAAAAACAATTATTTATAGATTTTGAAAAGATTCCAGAGAGTAATCAAATACTCCACCTGATTTTTGCTTTTAATTTGTACTTATTTGATGATTCAGAAAGAAGTACAATGCATAATTACTATATGTGTTTTTCTATATAGTTACTATATGTTATGCAACTACAACTAAACAAGAATATTGATTTCGACACAAACTAGCTAGTGGTAGCACAGTCCAGAGCTAAAATAATAAAGATGTAAAGTGGAAAAAGACTTTTTGACTCAGATATAAATGGCGTAGTCAATCTTCTCATTACCGACTGATTTAAAGTACTTATTATGGAATATTCATTGTTCATTTGCAATAGGTTTTTTGTTTTGCTTTTTGCTAATTACGTTATGATAAATTTAATTTAAGTTTAAATATTAGGCTATACTATATATTAAAAGAAAATGTGTAGTCGTCAATGATTATTTTTGAAGAGGTTTGTATATATACCCAAAACTTTATGTACATATCACATCCCGATGAGTTAGATTTCTCCGTTTACTTGTCCGAATCTGTTGAATGTATACTGACTCACTCCAACCCAAAAATGTACGAATTAAACATGTCCTAATCAACACATGTCTTTTGTGTTGTTTGAAGTGCATTACCACAACTCTTCTCTGTGTAACTACTTGATCAAGAACCAACCTAACAGCTTCTTCTGCATCATTTAACTGTCTCTGTCCATTGTAATTAAGCTTCTTAATTCGTGTTAGATTTATGATTTAATCTACATTTAAGTAAAAGATGTTGTAATATGTTGGCTTCGGATTGACCAAAACCTAGGCTTGAAGACGGACTTTATATATGGTTCGGATAGAGGAGCTAAAAATCAGATGTATCTAATTTCTTAGATTTTTCCCCTTTCCTTTTTAGAAGTTGTAACATTTTATACAAAGATGGATAACAATATATAATAGTTGTTCTGTTTGGTGAATAAATTTTAAACTCACAATAAAAATGACAAATAGGAGCAAAATAAAGAAAATAAATCTTATTCATTACCAAAGTTTATATTATAAATTTTAGAAACGAAGATTTATTATAAATATCACAATGAGTAGGAGGAATGTAACAAAAGTAATTAGCATCTCACGAATCATGCATAGAATAGATTCTTTTATTTGAAGAGATTAAAGTGGTCCGATGAATAATTGATTATTTGGAGACATCCCCAGCAGCGAACTTGAGAGCGACACTGTTAACGCAGTGACGTTGGTCAGTCGGAGTAGCGTAGCCTTCTCCTTTGAAAACATGGCCAAGATGCCCATCACATACCGCACATGTTATCTCCATCCTTCTCCCACCCATGCCTTCAGGCTATAAATCATTAACAAAACCAAAAAAAAATAAAAATCAAAGTTAATTTAATAACAATCTTTTTATACATGTGGATTCAAATAAAACTATAGAGAAGAGTCAAATCATTACAGTTTGTTTGATAGCACCGGGGATAGCATCAAAGAACGCTGGCCAGCCGCAGCCGGAGTCGAACTTAGTGGTGGACTTGTAAATAGCAGATCCACAACCAGCACAGCTATAAGTCCCTTCGTCAAACTTTTTCACAAACTCTCCTTTGCCTCGTTTACTATATCACAGAACCATTACAACATGTTAATTAAGGTAACTACGTACATACTTGCAACGCAAGTAAACCGAGTATATGAAAGACCTAGCTAGAAGACTTACTCTGTTTCTCTTTGTCTGAGAACCTTAAACTGCTCAGGAGACAGAACCGCACGCCACTCCTCGTCACTTGCTGGAAGTGGTGCTGCCATGACAGGAAATAGGTTTATGCTTATGTAATGATGTTTGAGAGATCCAAGAGGGAGTAGTGATTATTAGCTTTTGTGTGATTGTGATTTATCATGAAAATGGGTTGAGGTATATATAGGCATAGACAAGATTATATCTAAGAGAGACAGGAGAATCGTCCAAAGATACTGTACTAACCAAATAATAATAATTTAGGTAATTACAGCTAATTAACGCAATAGATCTAGATCTCAAAAGATAACGCGAAGAGAGCTAGAGAGAGCGAAAATTTTAAAAAATCGAGGTAGTGCATGTGGACTTTTGACTCGGTTTGTATACTTTATATTTTCATTTGATCACGATGCTAATACATTTTTTTCATTTTTTAATGTTATTGGTCACATTTTTCTCCTTTTCTATAGCTCGTTGAAATGTTTTTAAAAACAAAGTATGGTTCTTTGAATCCTAAAAGTAGTTTTTTTAAAATAAAAATTAAAGTTTAAGAGCATTTTATTTCTGTTCATGGCAAAACTTTATCTTCTTATCTCTATGATTATAAAAACTATAGACTTTGAAAATATTTTAAATCAAACACATCCGAACCAGAGTAAGACTAAGGCAAGTTGAGCAAAGTGTAACCAAATTAAATAGTATATATGTTGGGAGATGGAGCGTTGGAGCTCAACCAATAACGCTGATCGAGATGACAAGATCAAAATATAAAAAATCATAAAATCAAAAAGATATGATAATTAAAGAAAAATTCATGATTAAAAGAAAAATTATATTAGGGCCATTTGATCATTTATGTGAAGTTTCACAGTTATTCCATGCAAAAAATCATATCAATGAATTTACATAAGACATGAGTTTGGTGTGGAAAATTTTGGATTTGGGTGAAGGCAAACCTCACATAACAGTTATTGTCGATATATTTAGTGCAATTGTAAACTACGTCCAAGTGGTTGTGGCTTTTGTCTTAACTTTAAAGCGAGTGTTTTTTACATTTTTTAAGTGAAGGTGGTGGATTATTTTAATTATATTGGTTATTATATTCGTATTAGACGTTATATTTTGGATTAATAGACAAGTTGACATAAAAAAAAATTGATTAATTTGAACACCAATGATTCAATATGTACTACTTTGAGATTGTGATCATTCTTAATATAGTTTCTTACAATCACTAAAAGACAAAACTTGCCAACTTTTAACTTATTACATATAGAACCTAGTTTCTCGGATTCGTTTTCTTTTCTGGCGAGATTATACAACATGTCTTAGATAAACCCATTTTACTTTTTTGATTGTTTAGGTATATGATCATTTTTTCACAAAGTTTATCCTTATACGAATCTCATTGTATGTGAACGATGATGAAATATGAAATTTTAAACTAAAATAGCTAGAGTATACATTGAACAAAGAGTTATATGTTTTTATTGGAGAGTAGAGAAAAAAACACACACATACAGGGATCATAATATCTCATGATCAAAAAGCTTTTGCAATTAAGCTCACACACATCATAGAATAATTATTTGGAGGAATCAGCAGCAGAAGAAAATTTGAGAGAGACACTGTTAACGCAGTGACGTTGGTCGGTAGGAGTAGCGTAGCCTTCACCTTTGAAAACATGGCCAAGATGTCCATCGCACACAACACATGTTATCTCCATTCTTCTTCCACCCATGCCTTCTGGCTATATACACATTAACACAAAACCAACACAAATCAACATCAAAGTTATATTTATAAATGTGGATTCAAATAAAACTATAGAGAAAAGAGTCAAATTATAATTACAGTTTGTTTAATAGCACCAGGGATGGCGTCGAAGAACGCAGGCCAGCCGCAACCAGAGTCGAACTTAGTGGTTGATTTGTAAAGAGCAGATCCACAACCAGCACAACTATAAGTCCCTTCGTCAAACTTTTTCACAAACTCTCCTTTGCCTCGTTTACTACAATCACAAAAAAATCATTACAACATGTCAACATGTTAATTAAGGTAAATACTACTTACTATGCAAGTAAATTGAATATTAAAAATACTCTAGAGGACTTACTCTGTGCCTCTTTGTCTAAGAACCCTAAACTGCTCGGGAGACAGAAGCGCACGCCACTCCTCGTCATTTGCTGGAACTTCTACTGCCATAACAGGAATAGGATATGCTTATCTAATGATGCGTGAGAGATCGAAGCGAAAGTGATTAATTAGCTTGTGTTCGAAGTATTGTTCAAAAGACTTGTTTTTAATCGTGATTCAACATCTATGATGAATATAAATAGGCATAGACAATCTGAAAGAGCCCATGAGAATCGTCCAAAAGGAACTATGCTTAACAAATAATAATAATAATAATAATTTATCAATAAGGACATAGAGTGGGGGAGGTAATACTTGTGAACATTGACTCTGTTTTATTCTTTCTGTTGGTCACGTTTATTGGCTCATACAACTCAACAACTCTAGGTAGTGGAAACGTCAAAACAGAAATAAAATTATGCTTCGCTGAAATTTTAATTAAAAGTCTTTCGTTGATTTGAACAGATGAACATGCAAATACAATGTGCGGTCATGAGAGATACGAGAACTTCATACTATTGTTTTCCTCCATGATTGAAAAAAGTTATAGACTTTGAAATAAGCAGCTTAAGCTTACTTGTGTTGGTCTAAAAAAAAAAAAAAAATCCAAAGTTCATATCAAAACACACAAATTTTATTGTTTGTACTGCCAAAGAAAATTCAGACTATCTTATAAGATATATATAGTTATTAGGGGTAAAAATTCATGGTATGACATTTTGTAAGGGTTTAGTTTTTTTTTACGCAAACTGTTTAATAACATGTTTAATTTAAAGACTACGCAGGCGTTTATTTTGCTGAGTCCATAGGATGCGTTGGTTGACCTGACCGAACGCGTCCTTACCACTACGCACAGTAAAAGACTCAGACAATGAGACAAGTTGACCAAAGCATAATTAAGTACTCCATTTCTGTTTAAAAAGATTTTGTACGTATTAATAAAAATTAAGATGTTTACTAATTGCAAACAAAAAATGTTTAGATTTCTATTAGTTGTTGTCAACAAGGCTCCTATAAGTCCTAATCTTTTTCCATCCGAATCCAGGACAATTTTGTGTCTAAAACTGGAAGCTGGAGTTATAAATTAATATTTGAGGACCATTTGAGCATTTATTCGAAGTGCACAATTATTTCAGAAAATGAAAATAATTATATTTGGATAATGAAATCATAATTATTTCAGAAAATGAATAGAAACGATTTTGGTTTTGGAAAGTTTGGGGAAAACCTCATTTTATTAATGTCAATTTGCTTTTGCAAGACATTTTGCCTAATCTTTTCAATATTATTACTACACAGTTTTCAAAGAAATTTACTTCAGAGCTGAGTTCTATACATAATCAAGTATAATGCTGAAAGTTCAATACCATGCCCCATACATAATTAGTCTTTCTCAGCAATTCCACAATATAATCTCATTAAGTTGACATTTTTGGCCCTTTGCTCATCAAACTATTGAGTATTGAAATAAAGATTTGTTGAAACAAATGATAAATTTATTATAGAGGACTTGCATAGAACATATTAATGGTCAATGGAAAAATGACGAATCATACAAGGGACAAACAACAACGTAGCATATCACACATGCATGACTAGGACCGTAACAATACAACACACAACATAACATATTCTCAAACGATCAGACTTGATCTTCAAATTTTCTTCAAGGAGATGTATTGGTCACACTATATATATTAACTGGTCACCAAATATGGGATATATCGATTTATTGGGAAGACATTTTTGAAAACTTGAGAGAAACACTGTTGACGCAGTGACGCTCATCGGTGGCTGTGGGAAAACCTTCTCCTTTGACAACATGACCTAAATGTCCATCACATGTCGCACACGTTAGCTCCATTCGTCTCCCTCCTGCCTCCGGCTGTTAGATATAAATAAACATAAAAATTTGTTAGATTAAAAAACATTTTTTTACTAAAACAATATTGTGAGTGATAAAAGAATATGTCAAGTACCGTTTGTTTGATGGCACCAGGGATAGCATCGAAGAAGGAAGGCCAGCCACAACCAGAGTCGAACTTAGTGGTGGACTTGTAAAGAGGAGTTGCACAGCCAGCACAACTATAGGTTCCGTCGTCAAACAGTTTGGTATACTCTCCTTTACCTCTGGCTCTATATTTATCAAAACCATTGCAAACAAATCAGTAAGACCGTCTAAAGGATCACATCTTCGTGACAATAGACATAATTTACACATTTTATCCATTTTCTAGAATTACTTAGCCGGACACATATAATAGCATGTTATGGTGAGGTTTATATCTCTTTTGAGAAGTGTAGTGGCTAATTAATCTTGGACTAGTACCCTTTAATCTTTATGGAATTATTGTTGTATAGAGAAAGATGCAATGGAATATAGACATTTAGAAGATAATTCTTACTCTGTGCCTTTTTCCCTAAGAACTCTGAACTGTTCAGGAGACAAAACCGCACGCCATTCTTGATCTTTTTTGGGGAAAGATCCAGTTGATGGAGCCACCATTGTCGCGGGTGTTGGCATGATTACTATATTTGAGTGGCTATGAAGGCAACGGAGAGATGGTTTTGAGACCTTTTTAAGAAAATGAAAGCAGAACTGATTTTGTGAATTGAGCTATAAAGGGCTGAGAGTATATATATACGCATAGACAAATCATTTTTTCCTTTTTTTTTGGGGGTCAAAATTAAAAGATGGTAACAAGAATCTTAATAACAACTAAGATACCATAATAAAATAAGGTTACAACTCATACATAGATATCAATATATAATTGCCAGCATGGATACTAGAGCTATGACAAAAAAAAATTATTGACATTGAAAAAGAGATAGAGATGTCTTACCAAGGCAACAGTTGTGGTGAATTAGTGAACGTTTAGTTGTGTGGACTTTGATGATCGTGTAATAATTTATATATAGGAACCTACTTCCCCTGTTCTCTCTTTTTTTTTTTTTTTTTTTTTTTTTGTCTCGTTGCACGTAGAAGAAGCCAATGTTGACTAAAGCCTATTTTCCTAATTTCCTTGAGATTTCATATGATAATATAATGTAAGATAAAAAAAGACTTGGTTCGCACTATTTGCATGAATATAGCATATAACTTATAACGTTGAAAAAAAACATGCATGTTTTTCATGTTATATATGTGAAATAATAATAATTCATCCTTCTTCTTTTTATTTTATTTTATTTTATTTTATTTTATTTGGAGCAACTAATGTATCCTTCTTTAATGTAATCGTTACGGATAGCGAACCAATGTTTAGGTGAGATGATACTTCTACGCGAATCTAGCTTATGTTGTTGTAAATCAGTTTGTAAAATTTTCGAGAGAGATAAGTGGAACACAATGAGTACGTAGCGGTTTAGTGAACTCGTCCATCTTTTTTTTTTTTTTTTTTCTCTAGATGATAAAATGTTGCTTGGAAAGCTAATATGATAAGGAGGAAACTTCACTCTATCGCAAAATTTTAGCATTATATTCTTCAATTTGCTACAAAGTAATTAACAGTATGGCTTATAAGTTCGTCATATATCTTGTAGTTTTATAAAGTTAAAAAAAAACAAAAAAAAATAAAGAAGAAGAAGAAGATTGTCTTTCAAGTCTCTCAGCCAATAGATACTCATGATTTCAAAATCAAATAATATTGGCAACGTAAGCAAATCCCTTATAATAAAAATTTGGCATATACCCACAAACGCATTTATTAAATATTAGGCTTACTAATTAAATTATATATATATATATATATGATTAAAAAGCTAAATTTTTATAATATAAAACCAAAAAAAAAAAACTTTCATAATATAAGACTTACGTACATTTAACATATCAAGGTGGTCAATGGAAAAATAACATATAATATATATAGTTGAGAGAAGGAAAAAAAAACACACAAGTGCAAAACAACAATGGGAGCATATCACACAAGTGACAAACAACAATGGTAGCATATCACACATGACTAGGAACGAACATGACATAACAATCTCAAACAATCACACTTGAACTTCAAATTTTCTTGAAGGAGATGAATTGGTCGAACAAGAGTGGTCATCAAATATAGATATGTCGTTTTATTGGGAAGAAATTTCGGAAAACTTGAGAGAAACACTGTTGACGCAGTGACGTTCATCGGTTGCTGTGGGAAAGCCTTCTCCTTTGACAACATGGCCTAAATGTCCATCACATGTCGCACACGTGAGCTCCATTCGTCTCCCTCCTGCCTCCGGCTGATATATACATAAAAACATTAATTATACAAAAAAAACATTAATTATACAACTTGTTTAGTGGACAATACTAAAATAATAGTGCGTCATGAAAGAACAGAAAAAAAAACAAGTGTGTTTCATAAAAGAATAGAAAAGAAGAATATGTCAAGTACCGTTCGTTTAATGGCACCAGGGATAGCATCAAAGAAGGAAGGCCAGCCACAACCAGAGTCGAACTTAGTGGTGGACTTGTAAAGAGGAGTTGCACAGCCAGCACAACTATAGGTTCCGTCGTTAAACAGTTTGGTGTACTCTCCTTTACCTCGGCCTCTATACATATCAAAATCATTACAAGGAAATCAGGACGACCCTCTAAGAGGAAGTGATCACATATGCATGACATTTCACATCATTTACAAATTTTGTCTTTATTCTAAAATTTCTTAGCCGGACACCTAACAACATGTTATGATGAGGTTTATTTCTGTTTTGAGAAGTTTAGTGGGTAAATCATGGACTTGCACCTTTATGACACTATAGTTGTATTGAGAAAAAGTGGAATGAAATTAGAAATTAAAGAAGTTCAATGTTTAAAGACTATTCTTACTCGGTGCCCTTTTCCCTGAGAACTCTAAATTGTTCAGGAGATAAAATTGCACGCCAGTCTTGATCTTTTTTGGGGAAAGATCCAGTTGATGGAGCCACCATTGTCGCGGATGTTGGCATGTTTACGATAGTTAAGTGGCTATATGAAGGCAAAGGAGAGATATGGTCGTGTGTTTTGAGACCTTTTAAGAAGATAAAAGCAGAATTGAGTTTGTGAGTTGAGCTACAAGGGCTGGAGTATATATATATACGCATAGACAATCATTTTTTTCTTTTCTTTTGGTCTAAATTAAAAGGTGGAAACAAGAATCTTCCTAACAACTAAGATACCATGATAAAAAATTAAAAAAAAAGTTACAACTCATGCATAGATCTCGATCTAATTGCCAGCATTGATACTAGAGCTATGACAAAAAAAAATTATTGGCAGTGAAAAAAAGATTAGATGAGATATCTTACCAAGGCAACAGTTGCATGGAATTAGTGAAGGTTAGTTGTGTGGACTTTGATGTTCGTGTAATAATTATATATATAGGAGCCTGGTTTCACTGTTCACTTATTTGTCTCGTCGCATGTAGAAGAAGCCTTTATGACTTAAAGCTTCTTTTTCCTTAAAGATTTCATAAGATAATATAATGTAAGTTAAAAGAAAAAAAAAACTTAGTGCGTACTATTTTGCATGCATGTATTTGAGTATAGCAGCCAGTATAACTTATAACATCAAACACAAACATGTACTTTTCCATGTGATATATGTAAAATATGGCATCTCTTCAACTTTCCTATATCAGTATCGTCTAAAAATACTAGCTAGTGTAACACAATTTTTGTAACCATTTTTTAAAGAAGAATACTCGCTAGTGTAACATAATCTTTATAACTATATAACATAATTTTATTAGACGGTCTTAAACTATAGACTATGATTGATCAAGCAGAATTTGCTGTTAATGGTTCAAAAGAGCGCACAGTGATATGATACCGTTACGTGTCCATACACGTTCATTCTTTGGATTGACATTGTTTGGGATCTTTTCCGTTTCCCATTTTTCACATATTTCTCAAACTTTACAAAGAAAAAAAAAAGTCATGGAAGTAAAACAACTAAAAATGAAAATAAAATAAATTCATGGTAAGTAAAAAAGTAGACTTTAATTACAAATAGACATAAAATATTACTGATTAAACCCCAAAGATATAAATAAATAAATAAAAAAAGTCCGCACGTAGTTAAGGAGAAAAAAAAAGGGGGTTTTGATTTTAAAGGATGTTTTTTTAAAAATTTGTCCTTTTAGGCTTTCTGCGGTAAATTGTCAGTTATACCTAAATTACCCTTTTAAATAAATAAAATTAATTTTTAATTAAAACATATCAACAATTAAAGATTAATAAGATTTAAGGTAAACAAAAGAGTTTTGGATGAAAGTATGTTGATTTTGATATTGAAAAAATCATTCTGCAATATTTAGAATACATCTTCTGTATTCTAAATATTTTAGATTATGAATTCTGCACACTCTACATGTTCTAAAAATTGTAGATTACAAATTCTTCGCATTGCACTTGTTCTGAAAATTTTAGAATATATATATATATATATCTTCTAAAAAAATTAGAACTCAGGTTTGGTTGGTGTTCTACAAAATTTGGAATATGTATTCTACATGTTACTCTATATTCTACAAATTTTAGAATTTATTTTCTACACTTTACCCTATATTCTGCAAAAGTTAGATCATCAATTCTACACTTTACTCTTTGTTTTTCATATTTTAGAAAATGTATTCTACGAATTTTTAGAACTATCTTATACAAGGAAATTGAATCCTAAATTAAAGGAAACAAAATATTTTG